TTAATCGATGAAGAGTCTCACATACTTGGGTAAACTAACAAAAGTTGTAATGTTGTTTAGGTACTTAGAGCGTGTAGATTACCAAAGTAGGTGATCTGTGTTGAATGAGTGGGAACCTACCCGAGTTAAACCAACCAGCTACCGTCAAAGTCTCACCTCATGGTTAGTACCTAACGTGGATTACCCTTTTGGTGTATTCAGATAATATTGTTGCTTCAATGACATTACAACACAAATGACGTCACTATAAACATATATTAGCAAGAGTGGATACAACAAACAGTGTGGCTGCTACCTCACGGACGAGTCCATTGCGTGCAGTTAAAAGATACGCGTTGGTTGTCATTGGCCTTGACGAGTATAGGTGAACTGCTCTATATTCAATGACCCGCCTGCCGGAATGATTTGGCTGGAGCCCGATGATATTTCACCGGCCTTACAGGCATATTATCCCTAGTTCTCAGATTAGAAAGAATATGGCTGATCTCGACGAACGTATAGAACATTGTCGGAGAACCGATGTCAGGTGTTATTTCGTTTACTACTATACTTTTCCAAAACGTAACAGGACTCTAGTTTTTTAAATTAATCCCAAATACGTATGAAAAGCTATTTTTATCTCAAAACTTAGTGAAAATTTTTCTCATTTTTCGGTACATGGCATTTCAAATTCCTTTAAAGTTCATTGACCAGGTGCTGCCAGAACAGTTTTTCCATAGTTGTGTCACAGACATTCATTGATTCCCATCGTGCCATACAGTAGCAGTAGGGTAATAATTTAGTTTTATATGAAAGAACATGAATAAGTCATATGACGTCATAAGGTTGCCAAACTGCTCATCAACTAACGATTCCCCCATAAGGTTCTATGTTTTTATTTTCGTTTTACGCTATCGGCTGCTTTTCACCATTTTTTCCACTTTTGTGCTAGAAATGGACTAGTAGTGAAGGTACTGGCTCTCCCATGGGTTATATATATATATATATAATAACTCCTACTAAGCTGTAAATATAATCCTATCTTATTAGATATATAAGCCAACGAATCATTATATTCCGGGAAACAAATCAGACTCATGTCCGAAAGGTACGCTCATGCGCAGCCTTCACCGGGGACTAAGCAAATTTCCAAGAGTTCCTACTTCCGTGAAGTTTCAGGATTTAGGTTGCCGATATTCTTACAAAGATAGCCAGTAGCAGAACTAAGTACTGCCGTATGCCGATTAAGACAACCTATGTACAACGGCTCCTTTATAATACGAGGAGTCACAAAGTGATCAGTCAAGGAAACAAGAGTTGTGTGCATAAACATACATTTGTCCACTTTCATGTATATATTCATCGCATTGCTTGACTAACTATTTGTTTACCCGGCTAGCAAACTCTTGGCGATTTCGTGGAGTTGGTTTCCTTTACTAATTAGGCGAAAACGAGTGCAGTGTTTGCACAAAACGTGATTAGGTATCCAATGTCTGCATACTCCATTGAAAGTTTATATTCATATTGCTGTAAATGATTTACAGTAGAATGTAATATATTTAACATGTATTCCAGTTCTTTTTTGCGTAACAAGGGGATGGAACGAATAGCGGTGAAACTACGTCGGAAAATGCACATGCACGCACTACATATATGTTGTAACATGAGTGTCTCATGAACAACTTTCGATCGCTTACTCCTATCTATCTTTCGATGAACAAACATATCAGAAACAAGCGGCTAGTATATATGCTTTATCTATGTTAATCATCATTGATGTAGGTAATAAACTTCTGAGTGCTACTAACTTTTTAGGTGAATAAAGGCTATTCCAGACTCATTACATGAACACATATTCAGAAATGAGGATGAAGAAATGGGTGTTATTTAGAGTAGCAAACCACTAAGAGCGATAAATAGATAAAGACTCTGATCCTTGACGAAAGATCACAGATAAAAATCCAGAGTCAACGCTGTTCCCAATAATTAAACCGAATGGCATCAAACATTCATTCTTACCCATATATACTGAAATGAAGCACAGCATAATCAGCTTAATGATAGTGAAAAGTAACTGCTGTGTGATTTACAAATAGTTTAGTAGTACCAAATTTCAACAAGTAGTTGAATACACCAAGTTCACTGTTGAAGTATTGGTAACCGGTCTGAACGACTGATTGCGTAAATGCCAACCTGGTAATCGTTACACGTTAATACTAACCAACACTTGTGTTTCTCAGCCACACAGCAACACAAAACTGCACTGTACACCCTCCCTGCCGTAATGACATGTAAACAAGTCGATAGCCATATAAATTAATTTATGTAAAACCGAAGAAAAATGACAATTCCAACGTCTTGCTATAAAGAAGCATAGTCATGATCAGTAAGAACAACACATTCTGACGATGTGGCTTCTTCGTTGTCACGAATTTAACTGACCACCCGTGTACTTATGTTTCCCGATGTTCCAGAGCATGAACGGATAAATTTACCATCCTGAGGTCCGTTAAAACGATGCAGATCTGTAAAGTCTAACATGTTATCCAATGTACGGATAACCAAGTCGATTATGCAGTTCCTTGTCCACCAATTTCTATATCGAAATAAATCTGTGGTGTTTATAGAGACAAAGAAATAGATCTTTGACATGTGTACGCGAAATATGACTACACCGCAAGTGTGGACATTGAAACGCTCACAAGCACATCGCGAATATCAAGTATTAACAACATACACTTTACCTTGTCGTAGCAGTGGATGTACTCTCCTGCCATCGCTTCGTGTCTCATTCTCCTAACTCGTTTGTAATTTCTAGCTGCAATTTTAGCCACAAAAGCTATAGAGAAGAGAATCATCTCTCCTGAGACATTCGTTGTGTTTATGAGCACTTTCCACACGATCGTTTGTTTGGTTGTTCAGGCTTGGTACATGCCGTTGACAACAGCCAGCTCATAATGACTTCCGGTCAATCCATTGGTCCCCTATGTAATCAGAGGCTCGTGTAATGTGGATTCTCAAGCACCCGTACGTTTGAGCAAATCTGAATATAATGCATTACGTAAAGTGGAGCTTGTATGTCCGATAGCCTGGTTTATACAAGATGTTCCAAGCATTTGCGAACATCGGCATTTCGCGACTACAGAAAATAATCTATAAAATTAACTCTCACCTTCCTGAAAAATACTATTAGAACATGGAACGGGCACAGTATTATGTTGGCATGACTGTGCAAAGACTGCACTTAGGAAATTTCAGTCGCTGCCGAATCCACAATAAAAGTGCGTGTACCATAAGTACCATACATTATGTCTTTGAAGTATCTTAGTAGGCTTGAGAAGTCTTTGCGTCGTTCTTGCCTGCAAAGGAAATGCATAACAGTGTGCCCTTGCTAAATACTATCAGCAACGACTAGCTATAAATGTGGAAGTGTAGCGTGGCGTCGAGTCGAAGGTTAACTATGAACACCGCTACAAAGAAGCACGTGCCAAGCGAATCAGAAGGCGAGGGTTGGACGTAACCAAATAGATCCATAAAATCTCCGAGAAGCCAAATATCAGAAGACAGTTAATGGACCAAGTCGAGGTTTATTAGCTGGCAATCTCGTGGCATCGAAAGGATACCGAGATCGTGCCAGGATACAACCTTGGTTACAGAAGATAACCGAATTCGCGCGAAGTTACAATCAAAGTGTAAGTAAAAGAATGGAAGCACAAAATAGCTGTCATTAGCACAGTCAAACAAAAGCACGTTAAAACAAACACTGGTACAGTTGGTTATAATAATAATTGTTTTTATTAAACCAGTCGTGTTCTCGTGATAAATGTGAGTCACTACAGAAGACTTCAAGATAAAGTTGTTATTATTCGTTACTTAGCCAACTTTGTTGGTCTGATAAGTCGAATCAATACATAACAACTCTAGGTAGATAACCATTTTTTTACCTGCGACTGAAACAAATAAGAGATATGTTCCGATTTTATTCGAATGACCTTGCTTCAGCGTTTGGCTGGACGCGCTGTAAATCCCCGTTGATATGTTTAATGTCCAAATCCACGTAATTAGAATGTGAGTTTAACAACCTGGATACAACTGTGACCATATTTTGGCAATACCTTCCTCGGTAAGCTACTTGTGGGACCTCCGAGTAACCAGATGCCCAATGCTACGCGCTGGCGTATTACACAAAAACGGTCTTAAATATAATCATTTACTCTATAATAACTGTCGTCTCGAAGGATCTACAAAAATATATCTTTTTGTGCAAGGATGGTTGTACACAATTTTGATGGAAGTGACATTTATCTCACCACTATGAAGACTAGAAATATTAAAATTATTGTACTTACTAGAAATTCCCGGAACAGTGATTTAATTTGTTTATTCTGATCCGGACATCTCAGAGGATTTATCAGGCGAGTAGAAAAGCCAAGAACGAATAAAATACCTGTGGCATACAAGTTTCCACACAGAGTCATCGATTCTTGGAACCTCTTACCCGGATCAGTGGTGTCCTCACCTTTAAACGACTCATTCAAGGGAAGACAAGACACTCACAGAAGAATACTAGAAGGAATAACATAGTCCACAGGCCTTCTGTCCTTACTACACAAATCTGAATTTGATTTAAGCCAGATAGAACTAGATAAGCACAAACAAGCGTATTCCACTTGGAATTTGTGATAAGCGAGTAGTCAAGTGCAAAGGAATCATTAGTCTGTACAAATGCCGCACGAACCCAAAATCCAGATTGACAGTGGTAATATTTAGGCCTAAAGGATAAATTCATTTGGTATGAAGTATAAAAACCGGGGTCAAATAGTCTACGTCTGGAGTTTCGTTTCTCGCACCGAGTACTGACCCAATCTCCCTATTTTGGGGAAAGTTTTATCCGTCGCGACATCATAATATCGCCGGAGATTCTTCTGATATCATCCATCATAACGATGGCATCACTTTGGTTACTTGAAAGATGGAGGCTATCAGAAATAGTATGGCTGAACTCAACATTTGTAATCGTCTTGATTTGACCACTCATGCAAAACCTTACAAATTGTCGAGGTGACGCACCAATCGTTTTACGAAACCTTGACCTTCAAGTGCTCACTAACCTCCGTCAATGGATAATGCCACTGAGTCGTTGCCGCAGTCATTGAGGTGATCATAAGAATTGCCCGTGTCCGCTTTGACGGTTTTTTTCTCTCGATGACTTCAATGCCTAGGGAAATTATTATTTTGTCAAAGTTATTTTGCACTTTACGCGGCGACTTCACACTTTGTGAACTTCCCAAAGCAAATTTGCCTCCCCAAGCAACTATAGTAGGCGAAATAAAGGGGAGCATGGTGTTAGTTTTAGGGAAAGTTTGACAATTTGAGGAAGATGAAGGTGTTCATTTGGGAGCATTTCTCATTACATGGGAAATCTTGAAAAGTCATACCATTAATTCCGGGCCATTAAGGTGGTAATTTCACGCATTGTCACCCACGTTCACACCGATTTTCCATAGGGAGAGCAGGAACATAGATTGGTGCACCAATCTTTGTTCTTACTCTCTTTAAGATAATAAAGGGAACTATGTGTATGAAATTTCCTCTAGGGATTGCCTCTGTATTTTCCTAATGTTTGCTTGGGTTACTAATAATGACTGAGAACAATTGTACTCCGTTGAAGTACACTTTACTAGATAACTATAATTTCGTGATAACAACTTATTAGAAATATGGATCATTTCTTTGCTGTTGTCTTATTTCCAAATTCTGAGTTATTACGTGTTCTAAGGAATCTGAAGTTATCTTTACCATTTTCAGGAAATCTTCTGGATATGAGTTGCCGCTATATCCCTTCATTAATTCGGAATGCGCCTCGCTTAAAGACCCGAGGGATCGAAATTTTGCGTGACCCACGGACAAATAAGGTTAGACTTCACCATATTGAGTTTTCCTTCAGGGTTCTTCGTATACTCTCCATGAACGCCAACTTTTGGGGATTCATGGACTCTTGCCACCGAATCCTCAAAATCAAGATGTTGAGGAACAACGAGTTATCTCAAACCTTTATCAGCTGGATGATAATCTTAGCCGTTACATGATGCTAATGTCCCTCCAAGATCTTAACGAAAAGCTGTTTTATCGGGTAATAATAATCTAATAAGATTATTTCGCAGACTATCAGAACACATTTAGAGTATTGCTTACCACTTATTTACACACCTACTGTTGGCTTAGCATGTTTGAATTTCGGTTTTGTTTTCCGAAGGCCTCGGTAAGTTTCTGTATTTACCATATTTCTAGAGGTATTTATATTACAATTCAAGATAGAGGGCATATTTTTACTTTACTAAAAAATTGGCCTGCTGATACAATTAAGGTAAATGCAAAATCTGAACTGAATACAGGTTATTTAAAGACTGTAGTCATGACTGATGGCGAACGTATATTGGGTTTCGGAGATATGGGCGCTAATGGAATGGCTATTCCTCTAAGCAAGGCTGTTCTGTACACTGCCTTAGGAGGCTTACAACCTTATCATTGCCTACCTGTGATGTTGGATGTTGGTACAAACAATGAAAAGCTTCTGGAGGTATATATTAATCTTGTTATTTCTAAAAAAAGGTTGAGCTATTTGTTCTAGTAGTCTGTTAATTTTTCTTATTTGATCTACTTACTGCTGGTTTTAATAACTCATGCCTATTTTTGGAATTTAAAAGACTACAAAGTCATCCAAGAAAACGTTTTTATTTATATACATGTAAGTGAATTATGCTTGGATTTTTTAAAACCACTAACAGAATAAATTGTCTCCCATCAGTTGGCGTAAAGAGTATATTTTACGGAACTTTGTCCCGAAGGACTACCCAAGTCTAATTTTTACAGCTAGCAAATCCAAAATTAAAGTATACATAGTAAAATATATTTCTTATTTACTGATACTGATACAAAGTGCCACCAAAATATATTTGGGCCACACAATAAGGAAACGAGGTTGTAAAGAAGTGGAGAAAGGAAGGTGAGTATAGTATAACAAACTAAATGAATAAATATGTGTATAAGTAAAAAGTAGTGGAAGAAGCAGTTCAGTTAGAAAAACACAACCGGAAAGGGTTCTTTCAGTTAAGTTGCTCTCACTTATATGAAAAAAATTACAAGTAATTTACTGCAGGACCTCCACTGGGTTCTATTCTGAGCTATCTCTGATCATTTCTGGAGTCACTGTGTCTTACTATCCCTCGAACCTCAACCAGCAAACATTGCTGGGTCGGCAGACACCAATCCTATACAGCTGCCTACATATCCCTCACCGTGTCGTAAACTGATCGCCTTATCCCGTCAGTCTCGGTGTTGGCACATAATCCACGGTGTGGGATTCGCCGGGACAACATTCGTAGTCCATGTCTAAGCCACCGAAGTCGGTGTTTTTAGGTTATGACCGAGTAAATTATCTTCACTGCACCCGGACGCACATTGCTGAACTTCCGCATTTCTAATATGGTCTTTCCACTGAATGTCAGCAATCTTTCGCAGACAATCACAAACAAACACCGATAGCCGCTTAACATCCTCGACTCGTAAGGACCAAATTTCAAAAGTATAAGGCCAAACTACTGTCGCCGACGCGTTGTAAATCTGACATTTTACAGCCAGAATATCATGGAAAAGGCGCCAAAGATGGACTAGTCTGATATAGGCCGCTCCGGTTTTTGATATACATAGATTGACTTCATCACTAATGCCACCAACAGCACTTATACAGCTACCCAGATACACGAGCTTTTCGACTATTTTTAACTTCCCACTACTAAGCGTGAGTGCAGACACAGGTGCCTACCGGTCTAGTAAAAGTACTTCACACAATTTAAGTGCATGCCGTACCTGCGGACACGAATTGCCAACTAGTCAAGTACGGATCGCAGAGGTTGAATACCACTTCACAACAAAATAGTATCATCCCCATACTCCAGGTCAACAAGTATTTTTCGAGGTGACAGAGCCACATCACTTATCTACTTTCATCAGAGTTGTTTTCAGGACTTCATCGATGGGGAAGTTGAAGAGGAATGGTGAGATTGGACAACTCTGCCTAACCCCATTGCTCATGCGGAACAACGCGATGAGGTGACTGTATGCCCTCACTCTGCCTGAGATGTTTGTATATAGCTTTTAAGATGTTAAAAAACTTCTGAGACATATCTTTCTTCAACGGGTAATCCAGTGAACAGCATTGTCCAACGAATTGAAGCAAGCCCTAATATCAAGAAACATAACGGTTGTTGGCCTGTAATAAGTATTAGGGTAAAGATGTGACTGATACATCCTCGATAACAATAAAAACCAACCTGCTCCTTGTGAGTTAGTCTTTCTCAGCTTATGAACAGTCTGCGAAGTATGATTAAGGCCAGTAGTTTGGACGAAATCAGAAGTAGACCTATCCCTCGATAGTAGTTGTATGGGTAACTTGAACCTTTCTTTAATATAGGGATGACTATCAACTCACTTCAGGATGTTGAAACACTATAATTCCCAAACGTTTGCAAATAGCTCAGTCAGTTTAATAACCAGAAGGTCGCCACTATTCTTAAAAAGAGCTAGAGGTAATTAGTTTGGGCCTGGTGATTTATGGCGCTTCTACAGTTGGAGTTCCTTACGGAGTTCTGCCTTATTAAGTGGATCGGTCGATGCTGACCGGAGAGGAAAAAACAGTTTGGTCGATGTAGCTGAGGCAGCAGACCGGTAAAATTGCTTTTTCAAGAACTCTGTCAATCCTCCTACACGTTGGTGGATATTATTGATTGGCGTCATAGATTGCTTCAGACTCCTTGTTGCTTGTGGATCGGATTTGTTGCAAGGGCTTCCGACAGTTGTCAGATGCAACTGCTGCCACCAACTCGTTAGCACGCTCTAGGTGCAAAACTTCCTGGTCTTTACTCAAACTTTACACAGTTTTTCCACGTAAAATCCTACGTTCATCGTCAAACTCAAGATTGACCAAAGTAGACCGACGTGTCTCAAGGGGTTTGAAAAAAACTTGTGAAAACAATGCGAGATGTTTTGTGAAGCCACTAGAGACTCGGTCAGCCATTTTCATAGCGTCATGCAGTTAGAACGAGTACTCATCTGTACTTTTCGTTGGGTTTAAAGCTATCCTTAGACCTAACTCGGTTGTATATTCGGTTGTAGCGGAAGCTGTCACCAAATTGACCGTATTAATCCGTTTAAGATGAGAAGTTCGTTGGACGTTGAAGCGTCGGATACAATTAGCTCAAACGAGAACATAATCAGAGTCGAGTCAAGTACTTCATAGGGGGCGGGAGTTTTGTGCACAATAATCCCAGCGGTAGCTGATCGCGATGTGATCAATCTGAGTTCAAGCTTTAAATGTAGAGAGAAATAGTCGGGTAGCACATCGGCGATGACTACCGATAGTTATTGATAGCCAGAAACGGGCTGTTGTCTACACAAAGCTGCGAGAAACCGTCATCATTATCTTATCTGTCACCAAAAGAAATCAGCTGCACTTCAGATTTACTAGTTCTGTCTTTTTCTCGTAGATTTCACTAATTTTTATTCAAATCAGTTGATTTCCTGCGAAGATTAATTCTCATTGCTTCAGGTGTAGATATCGTGGGGAAAGTAGTCTACAAGAACGTGGTTTGCACAGTCAATTTAAGTCAAAGTTGCTCAGAGACAAATACTACTCGGTGACTGGGACATTTAACTTTCAACCAACAGATTACCGATTCGAACTACGCTCTGTTCATTAAGGCATAAAATGAAAGTGACCCGTAGTCTAGTGACTTGCTTTCTTAATTACACTACTACTATCATCATCACCATGCATTTTAACAGTGGTCCTTATGCTAAAGCTAAATTATGATCGATGCAAAACTATCATATACAAAGTTAACCTTCATGCTACACCTTTTCCATTAACACTTCCTAATTTATATTGTGAGCTTTCTACCCTGTAGGATATATATATATATATATATATATATATATATATATATATATATATATCAATTTATCATACAAATTTCCCAAGAATATAAATGTTTGATGTTCACTTAATTACTAACGTTTCCATTTTTGTCAGGATGAGTTTTATGTTGGTCTTCGTCGGAAACGGGCCACCGGAGAAGAGTATATTTCTTTCATGGATGAAGTTGTGGAGTCATTGTCTGCGCAGTATGTTGTAATATTGTTACAATTAACAACCATATCACATCTAGTTATGGACCAAATGTTTGTCTGCATTTTGCAGACTTCAAGAATTCAAATGCTTTTCAACTTTTGGAGAGATATCGTTCGAACTACATAACATTCAATGATGACATACAAGGTTAATAAAGTGCTCGTTTTATTTTTGTCGATTATTGGAATGCCATTACGTATTCATTGGTTTACAAAACTGAAATGTTCATGATAGGTATTGGAAATTAAGTTTTGTGATCGTTGTCTGATATGTTTGTACGCTAAGCTAGTATTTCACAACTCTAACCTCAATGCTGTGAACGATACTGATGCTGTCCTTTTCTTTACCACGCTATTATATATTTGAACACAAATATTAGTACAAGAGGGCACCAGATATATATGCTAACTAGAGTAAGAAGTCTAGTAGTCGTATAAAAGCTTTGTTAGCCAAAATCAGTAGAATTCAATGTACATTTGAGATAATTAGTTATATATCAATTACAGTGATTATAGTTATCGAATTGAGTAACTATCAATGAACAAATATAGTGAAAAATTCACTGAAGGTCCACGAAGTAGCTTCACACTGAATAAATTAATTTAGCATGTGTTCATCTTAATTCGACATTAATTTTTCGCCCAAGTTTTATTCGGGGATTCCTCATCCCGAACATAGTCTTAATGTACTACGTGATTCACTGGATCAGTCTAAAACTTGTTGCTTCAACTCACTAATTTCGAACAGGCTTTAAGCCACAAGCATTCTCTGAGGACTATTGACTCAACTAATGATACCTAATTCTTAGTAGATGAGACAAGTTAAGAAACCGTGATTTGGTAATTAAAAGTTGGTTACTTAAATCAACGATTCGCAACACAATGGTGTGTTATTTTACATCACAAACTACTTGACAAAACAATGCAGATATTTGGTATAAAGAGTAAACATATTAAAGAAAAGCTTAAAACAGCTTTTACATGCTTTCATGTATATAAAAAAAGAACTATCATCTTGCATGCCTTAGATAGTACTTGAACAGCTTACCAACAACAAATAATCTACTGATCCTCTACTTAACTCACTGTAAGACCCAAATGCACTGGGTTGGGTTTCGTGTTTATTTATTAGTCGAGACTAATAAATCCGTGACAGAGATAAACAAAAGTATTTGACACTGGTTTTCAACCATTCAGCACACAGTGTCCGACTGAGATATATATTCGCTCTTCTATACTTATAATTTATCCACTGGATAAAAATAAAATAAAATGGACTTTTTGTAGCTGTGCGTACTATCAAAATTTTTGTGAGAATATACTTAAAATAGTAATTTCTTACACATTAATTTTTCCTCGTGAATTGTATCAAATTGATTCCCATTATTCAGTTTTCGTCATAAAGATTTTGTAATTCAAGTTTTTTAGTGCAATAAATGATTTAACTATAACTGAGCAGTTTAAAAATTGAACTTTAAGTGACTTACCTAATAGCTAAATATTATCTACCCAAAGCGTTTTACTCTTTATATCTTGGTCAGGAACTCACAGTAGCAGGTGTTTTCTACTGTTTTATTAAAGATAAAAATCTAATGATTTGACTAGAACTATATTGTAAACATTTTTAATTGACAGATATTGACGTGTGGAATGGACTTAAAAATTGCCTTTTTAAACGTATTCATTCTATTTCTATTCATCATATCAGGTTCTGCTGTGGTTATTGTATCAGGTCTAATGACTGCATCCAGAGTGACACAAAAGAAAATATCTCAGAACAGTTATCTCTTTTATGGTGGTGGGGGAGTAAGTTATGCCTTTATTTCATTCATTTGAATATGTTCAATTTATGGTTTTGTAGTAAAAACAATATATTAATTGATCTTAATCCACCTAATAATTACATGTTCATAACAAAATCTTGTAAATATAGTGAAATAATATCCATTATTGCTTTTAGCGTGCACTCTGGTTAGCTTTTTTCATTACGCCAGTTGAAATCACTGTATAATATGTAGCTTCTAATGATACTGAAAATCAACAGAAGGATTAATAGATTTTCCTACGTAAGAACATTCAGTTGTTAAGGGCTAAGTTTAACTGGATTAAAAGTTGACAGTCTTCAGTTATGTTTTTTATGCATTGGTATGAAGATTTAATTCTATTAAATAAGTGTTGAACAATGATATTTGAATTCTAGCTTCTTGTACACAGTAATTATTACGTATCAGTCTCTTCAGTATTCTCAGCAGTGCGCATCCACGATCCCGCGAGCGGGATTCGAACCCAGGGCCTTCGGTCTCGCGCGCGAACGCTTAACCAACTGGACCACTGAGCCGGCATCCAATGGTGATAGTTTCTAACATCAACCAATCCACGAAATGAAGTGGGTCGCGCAATTTCGTGGATTGGTTGATGTTAGAAACTATCACCATTGGATGCCGGCTCAGTGGTCCAGTTGGTTAAGCGTTCGCGCGCGAGACCGAAGGCCCTGGGTTCGAATCCCGCTCGCGGGATCGTGGATGCGCACTGCTGAGGAGTCCCACAATAGGACGAAACGGCCGTCCAGTGCTTCCAGGTTTTCAATTGTGATGGTCTAACATCAATTGGTTCAAGATCTCAATTAAAACTTAATAGTCTCCACAACCCCATACTAGTCTTCAGTATTCGTTGTGTGAAATGTAAAGAGCACAGAACAATATTATGTTTTGTTCCCATCGTGCCTGTACAACACTGAGTCATAATTGTAATCCTTCAACCATAACTGTTATCTTACAGACCTCGACAAAAAACATCGTCTTACATGATTCAGCCCACTAGTCACGGACCTATATGTACTAATACAATGCTCTAATTGGACACCTGTAGCTTTTTTCTAAGTTCTTGGTTAGGTGGTCACCAACTGTGTATAACACGCTTCGTTCACTTTATTCAATTGAGATTAATAATCTCACTAAATAACTTGTTTTTGTTTATTTATCTAGGCTTCTATCGGTATAGCACGTTTGTTAGTACAAGCAATTATGGAGGAGGGTTTCTCTGAAGATGAAGCTAAATCACGTATTTTTATAATGGATTCTAAAGGTTTAATTGTCACAGTATGTAAATACTTATTTAACTGTACTTATCATTAATTAATACGCCATCTTGTATTAGCCATTTTTGAGCAGTAAAAATAATAGTCTGCTTTCACGTTGTCACTCTAATTATATCGATTTCGCCTACATATCTGTATCTACACTGACATTTCTGAACACATCATTAAGTCTAGATAAAGAGAGAAATAGGTTAGTATGCACAGGTATTTGGATAGGTAGTTTGTGAAACTTTTTTATCAAGTTCGACTGCAGTTCTTCAAACTAATAATTGTACGCCTATTAATAACCACTAGCTTCAAGATTCGATCCCGAGTTTTTAATGAACTGTGATTGGTGGTGTTTGACTCCAATATCGTCAACCAGCATCGCTAAAAGAATAAATTTAAAAATGTAGACCTTTAGATTCTAATTCAGTCTCTTGAAGGCGTTTTTTTAGGTCACAAAACCTGAAGCTCCTAGGAGCATATTCATGAGGAGTACCGAACTAAGATGAAGTAGCTATTCAGTCTTCTATGATTTTAGTCCTCCACTTGTTAGTAATAAAGAACTTATTTTCTAATTCGTATAGATATTTCATTGTAATGTCAAGTAGAATTGTAAACCAGTTCCATTCTTTTAGTTAAATACCACTTGATAAAATAGGAAATCCTAACGAAAGAAAGGAAACCAGACATTTCTGTTCTGGTAACTAATATTTGTGAAGCAAAGGTAACAAACATTGTCAGGTGGATGACATTCACTTCATTTCATCTTCCCAAAATCTATATAGACACCAATTTTATCGATGAAATGTGATACCACAAATATGGTTTGCATATAATAATTCGAAAGTAATTTTTACTACAAACTGACGTAATTTGGAAGATTTGTAGGAGGTAGAAAACTCTAAGACGCACACAGGATGACCTCACACATGTTTGAACACACGATCTGTAAGTATCCTGGTAAGTAAAGGCGTCCTGCTTGAATATCTGGGCTACATGTACCTGCCATCCGGATATTTCAACAAGCTATATGCTTTCTTGTTCGTCTTAACACATCATTATGCCAATTGATCGCATAACCTATTCAGGTGCGTTTGTGAAAAGTTCACGACATTTCGCTGTACAAGTTACAAAAGAGTCTAATCGGAGACATCGTGGTCGCTGGCAATGTGCATCGAAAAGAATATACATTAATCAGATGTCGATTCCTGAACTGCTAACATCTAACTGGCGACCATTCAATATTTATCGCAAGGGTCGATCAAGAAATAAGGAAACTTGTTAGAATGCTTTGTGCTGAGAATTCTATATTGTACCAAGAGACATGATATTGAATAAAGCCAATAATAATAAATGTGGTATAAAATCATTAAACTCAATGTTACAAACAGTCACAAATAGTTCACAGATGTTCAGTGCTATCTAGTTTTCAGTGGTTGTTTAATCTTGGCCAGTTCGTGGTGAAAATTAGGAAGTATATAATTATATGACGTGAAGAATAGGGTCAGATTGTGAATAGATTAGGTGTTAGAAGCAACTATTTTTAGTGTAACAGTGAGGTCAAGGATAACAACGGTAAAATCGGCGTGGAAATATAGGTAAATTAAGTAATGAATTTGTTACTGTGGTTAATTTAAAAATAACTCAGGCTGGAAGATGTTTATGGAATAGGAATATTGAAATAAATGCACTTTATCCTATACTGTTTGTTCTCCATATAAAGAAGTTTATCAATCGGGATTGGTTGTACCATTAGTTGTGCCTCTAAACTTCTATGTTGTGGAGCACTTGCCCATGTACTGGCCAAGTTTTTTTCACACAACGATTAATGTTATTGATTTTAAATAGTTTATTATAAAATGCAGGAGTGTATGGTTGGAAATATTGGTAAGATATTCAAAATTTTAAATTAGTCCAAGGTCAAGTTTTACGCCTTACTATGAACTAATGCCAAAAAATACACTTAAATATCGTGTTTTCCAATTCATTTAAAATTTTTCATAGCTAGTTTATTGTGTTTACAATAACCTGAAAACTTAGTGTATGTTTACAATGTTTACCTAATCGTACAAATCGGTTCACACTTGGATATGTTTAAACGGTTTTTCTAAGTCATGATTTCAATGAATGTTAAAATAAAAACTAAACCTTTATGATATCATTGATATATAAAATCATTGACAGTTTTATCTAATTATGTCATAATGGAGTGAATATCGAGAAAGAGCTGTAGATCGTGGAACTATCTTATTGGGAACTATTGTTAATATTTTTACTGTATAATTATTAGACATTTGAATTATTGTATCCTTGCATTCCCCTAATTGTAATTATTCGTTTGGCGCATAAACTATTGTTATACGTTTTACCTTTCTCAAGTTGTCGTTCGTTAGTTATGGACCTATTACTTAGTTTCTGTACCACTTATGGTGCACTTATGTACTTTGTTATTCATACTGGTATGCGATCAGAAAATTGTTTTATTGTATGGGATGGTGGAATGGTCACACATTAGAAATGTTATCTGGTTGCTAACTTCATTTGATTGAATACTTGGTTGAGGGCCAATAGGTGCTAAAGTTTCGGTCATTGTTCATTGGTCCAATAAGTTCAGAACAAATTGACAAACAATCAGACTAGACAGTATTTCTGCTTCTATAATAACGTCTTGACGGACTCCATGTGGTCCGTCATAATACGGAAACCTGTTCTTTTTAAGATATAATATTGTATAACAGTATTAATGACTTCAATGTTTTTCTAAAAGCTGTACTTATTATGTAAGCTTTTTTCGTATACAAAAAAACATGTACGCAACATTCAATATTTGAATTAAAACAAGTGCAAAAATAACAATTTAATCAGAGCAGCAATAATAACCTGATGATATAAGACAAATTCATTTTATTCTGCCCAAATCATTGTGCTTAGTGTATTCAAGTTTGTAAATAAAACTATGCTTGTGGAATATTCGACTGTTGGCTTAACCAGCAGTATAATTGTCAGCATTTAACGTCATAGAGATGGTTTTTTCTAATAATTTTTTATTTTACAAAAATATTTTTTGAAATAGGAAAAAACTTTGGAACTGTCGCCAACAAATGGTTTATTCTTGTTTGGGGTTTAATCAAATTGTTTTATTTTTATCGATGTATCAAATAATAATGCCTGAAATTTTCGCAACTCCTCTCAGTTCACGCATATATTTGTAATTAAAAATCTATACTGTTTATATTCGTTGATTTTGTTTTGTACAGAGACTCTCAAAAGTTCATTACTTTATAGTTGTGAAATTTGGCCTATGTAGACAGAAACAGTTAATTCTTGACATTCGATCACAGATATTCTTGAAGTATTGTTTCATGTATAGGGGAATTATTAATTCGATGTTTCTGAGGTTCAGCTTATGATAATAGGTAGTAACGTTAAACTGGATGACAAGGCTACGAACTTTTATCGCTTTAGGTGAATGGAAATGTATAATACATGTCTTAGCTACCACATCCCTTGACATGCAACAGAAGCTCGCGTAGGGGTCAGTTGGAGAAAAGCTGTAGTAGCAAATCAGTACAGCATCAATCTCCGGAGACACTGTTGTATTTGTAAGCGCAGACTTTACGATTGCGCTACGGGCGAAGACTGTAAGCAATAATTGTTGGAGACCCTGGGTGGCGTGTTTTTAAATCAGTTGCAATCATCTAGACGGATTTGTTCTTTATCTTTTCTTTCAACTTTAAGTTTGTGTATTTTCTGATCGTCTTTATTTCTCGATTTCATTCGTTCATTTCATACTCTCAACTTCTTACTGTCAATAACATTAGTATTCTCACTCCTGTGTTTTTGAATTTGTCAATTTTCTCTTATGTCATCCTATAGAGTAGTTAATGTACCACACTACACTATAACTTGAAAATACATATATTATGAATTTCTCTTATTGCTGAAACGGCAACTTTCTGTCCGACTAACATGGTTATTTCGTTTCATTACAGAGTCATGAACTTAGTGCAGCAAAATCAGAATTCGCTCGTTCTGATTATCCTAAAATAGATTCACTTTTGGAAGCTATTCGATTAATTCGACCTTCTGTTTTAATTGGTAAGTAACTCAACATTCATAAGTTTATTTTCCCTTTCAACCAAGTGCCTTTTATTATTTTAATCTAAAGTATATTTTTCATCTTTGTTTTTAAATCCCTTCTTGTTTGAAACGATTGTCCAATTAATCTCAGTTCATCATAAAAGCACTTGCACGTTTTCTGTTGCTTCTGGTAAATTACTATTATAATCCTTTTCTTGTTAAAACCCAATGATTTCCATCTATTATTTTTCGTTTTAGACTAATGCTTTGCCTAATCATACAGCTTAGTTAAAACTTTTGAAAAATATTTCAAACATTAGTTGAACCCATATTATCACTGAGATTTAAGTGGTCATGCTTTAGCAAACCTCTTTTGAGTGATTAGTTGCACATAAGTTCATGCTTCGATGCCCCAACGAGTTCGTTGCAAGTTTTAACTAATGACAGTATATTTGATTATTTGGAATCCTTCTACAATACGAGTCTTCTTTTCAGTTCCCACACTCACCCTACTATCCGTGCATAAATAAAATTATTGAACCAAGGACTCTTATCTCACTTGGTGTCATTACGGAGTATACGTCTCTTTCGTGTGTATTATAAGGATATTGTATAGAACACAAATTATTCCAGCTATCCTTTTTTATCATATGCTTCTCAGTAGTTAATAAAATATGATATTCGTTTTTTATAACTCTACTACTTATGAGTAGTTAGAATTTATTCTTTTGTTGGTTATCGCATACTTGGTTTGGACAGCCATTTTTAATGGATCATGTTTGTGTTTGGCTGCTTTGAGAATTGACTGTCTTTGTTGCATTTATCGCCCTAAATTTGAGTTCTACCTTAATCTAGCCGTTATTTGTTGATCTTCATATACAAAATCTCTGAGAAGCCAAAACAGTCTTTTGGCTATAACTAACCTTGGGTTATTCCAGTGAACTTAACGTAGGGTTTCTAACTTGAAGAAGAGATCGCATATGTATATTTATCCTCTTTTTCCGATTATTTTAAAGCAAATTCTATTCAACTTATGATAAACTTCCCCATTTCTTTGCAGGTGCTTCTGGACAAAGTGGGGCATTCACGCGTGATATTCTTCGTGAACTGTCAACAATCCATAAGACTCCTATCATATTTGTCCTAAGCAATCAATCAAATCTCGGCGAATGCACTTCCCAGATGGCTTATAAGGCTACAGAAGTATGTTATGTTTTTTTTACTGAGATTAATTTTGTAAATGATGTTTTTTTATATCATGCTGTTCACACAATGTTTATGATAGATGTTAATCAATAACTTACTGGGACAGAAAATAATCTGGTATATCTTTTTGTAATACCACCTTCTGAAACGACCACATAGACGTACAAAGTGGCAGTAAATTGTCCTGAAGATTTTTGAATCGAAATAAACTGACAATTTATCCACTTTAATAATAGCCAACTGTTATTTGATTGTTTCGTAAGGTGAATTTGGGGTTTTTTTGGCAAATTCTGTTTCTTTGAGATTAGAATTAGTATTGCCTAACACTGTGATCAAACAAACATCACCTCTGACATTTCTACATAGTCTTTTGATGAGGTAACTAACAACACGTTTGCTCCTACTAAATTTATATCAAAACTTTTGGATTGTATTAAATTTTTTTCTGTTTATCTCCATGATATGGTGATTAGATTCGTTTACCGGGTGGGGATTCGTGTACTTGGCTTTGGTACACACTTTAAGTGTAAAAGCTGTTGACACTACCCTGTTGCCCAAACCGAAGTAGATGAAGCAGGGTTCGAACCTGCAACTCAATGTCAGAAATAGAAGCACCTTAACCATTAAAACACTTGTGCACCCTTTCATCTTAATATTAGTTATCCTGTTTTGTTGTTCATAGTTTTATTCTAATTTGTACACGAAATAATACGAAATTCATTGGGGACTTTTATCAACTTTTTTTCATCTATTTCCCTTGTATATGTGTAGTGGAGATGTATATTTGTCAGTGGTTCTTCTTCAGAACATGTTCGAACACCAGATGATCGTTTATTAAAACCGAGTCAAGGAAACAACTGCTATGTTTTTCCAAGTTTGGTTAACGCATTATCATTGGCTGTCATTCGTCCGCTAACTTATAAATTGCTATTGACTGCAGCAAAGGTAAACTACATTATTACCTGTTGTTTTTCTTTCTAACTTGGTCTTTTTTGTAAAAAAAAAAAGTAACAAATTACTATGCATACTGAATTTATTATGATTTCAACCTAATGTAGGGGTTCGTTTTCACAAATGTCTAATAAAATGTAATGATCAGTACTTTTAAAAATCCTAGTTGTCCAAAATCTATAGAAGCATCTTGACCAAAAGATATTAACTTAATAATACTCTGCTATATTTAAAATGTTTCTAAGCTGTCTCATCGCACTTACCACGTGATATGATGGAAAGAAAAGTCAATTTTCGATTGAATTACTCATTATGAGTTTTATTCAACATTACATCCGTTTCGATTCAACATGAAAATCATTTAGTGTAGTATTTGATTGTTTTCCCAGTATGATATTTTCTTCTGTATAATATACGATATTCTTGTATTCAATTGATATGAACTATGCTCAGTGAGTGATTTGTTATAACTGAGTATGTAATTTAATCATTAATCAAAATGGGTGTACAATCAATATATAAATCAGTGTATTTTAGACTATTTTGATTCGTCGTTGTCATAGTGTTTGGGGCTAATAAATCTTTACTTTCTCATCGCGGGAATTGCCCTGGTCCCTCGTTCCGAGTATAAGTGATCAGCGTTCTTGTTTTTCCGGCACAACACGTCTGACACCGAGGTTTCTGGATCTTAGTAATCATTTACGAAGGCTATCAACCTATGATTTATAAACTCCAGAGACATTTAACTCTTCATTTTTACATATTAGTGTCTCATGTACAGCACGGATATGCCACCCACGCATGTCGAGAAATCCAAATGAATGCTAATATCGCAACTCTTGCATTACAACTAAGATACCCTGTGGTATCTTCAAAAATAAAATTTTGCGATGTGTGAGAGTGGGAGTAAAACATGATTGGTCATTGAGTGTGGACAAACAGCCGCAACCTACTGACTATTAAATATATGATTTCTTTCCCTCTCATTGATTTCTACTCCCGACCACTGAGTGTGACCGCTTGTATTTGTGTGAAATAAAATATTATCTAGTGTTATTCTGGGTCGTGAATCCTGGATCGGATATGAGGTGACTAGATTCATTACCGTAGTATACCTGAGTGAGAGGGAAATAATTTTAATCATCCTTTATATCGCTTTACCTTTAGGAAACTTCTCCAACCACATACGTCAACGGCAATAACAACTAATGATAGTAATTATTTTACATCACCAACGTAATGACGCGTGGTAGTGTTGGCGCTAAAATCGGTCTTTTTTGTAACACATGAGGTGAACGTTGACAGAACCGGTACCCAATATCTCAGTAGTTAATTGGAGCCCGATGGATAAGTTTGGTTAGAGGCACATTCACTAGTGGATTTACTCAAACCCATTCACTGGATCTTTGTATCAATAAATGAATAGCCTTACTTAATCCCCATAATGTGCTCGTCGATGGCCCTTAACAGCAAGATAACCTGTAGATCCATGATTTTTATTTACATGTTTCTGAGCTCTCAATAGTCATATTAGCTTAGAATTAAGTATGTCTAGGGTGGTGTGGACACCTTTGCTCTAAATGTAATATCATATTCAACTTCATTCTTTGGTATGTAATCCCGTACTATTTATAAAATTGAGCTATATTCAATCATTTATAAATTTTGTATATTGTAACAAGTGATATTTCTTTGTCGTTAAGATTCCTTACTATACAATACATTCTTATGCTTTATATTTATCCAGTCATTCAAGAGTCAGTCAGGGATTCGGTGAAGAAATCTCTTTTCATCGATTTTATTCTCAAAGCTATATGGTAACAAAACATGCTATTTTAAAGAAATAATCTACAATTTATTTCTTAATGAGCATAATTTATCGGACTTAGTAACAAAAGAACAATTACAATATGGCTACAACACATGTAATTTCTATTAAGCAAATAAAAATAGAATTCTAGCGAAGTATATAGAAGGGTGACTTAGTTGCCAAGGCATTTGAATTTTGGGCACTAAGTCCCTGGTTTAAACCCTATCCTCCCACTTCAGTTTGTGAAACCGGATAGTATCTTGAGCCATCATACTTAAGGTGCGGCTAATACCTCATACCTAGTGAATAAGTTAATTTTTTAATCAAGCGTACTAGAAAAGTCAGTTAAATATTAATAATTATGGAAAGTGAATTACCAAGTATGGTAAGATAAGTCGAAAAATAAAATGGAATCGGAAATAGAGTAAAAAATGATTTGTTTATGACAAAAGGCTAACACACTGGAACAGTTGAGAAGATGGTTGTTAGTGAAACTAGAAAACACAAATACAGGAGGATTACACAGTTTCGGGATTGAGATTGCCTAAAAGAGACCATTTCTCTGAGCCATACACACTGCCTTTTATTATAGATCTCAATGGTTGTTTTTATACTTTTCCGCCATAAAATCATATGAGTTTTGTACCGTAATGTTTATTTTATCCTCCGAACTATAAATTATACACGTTTTGCATGAAAATTGGTATTTTGTGTGAAGTACTCTTTTTTGGTTATTAATACAGTCTACTCGGTTCGATTTCTCTAAAGAAAAAACCGTTGGATATTACAATCCGGATTCAGTTCTTTTGAATGAATATGACCACTGGTCGTTTATCTCATTAGAAAGTAAATTTTATCTAGTTCTTTAGATTTCTTACTTTTTCGCAATTTTATATTCTTGTGATATCGAGCTCTTAGTTCAACCAGTGCATTCTACTGTAAGCCTATTATTACTTATGATGTATGGCTTTTTTGATCGCTACTACTTTCAAAGAATTTAGTTCCTGTGTACAAACACTCATGCGGTTAACTAGTATAAATTTTCCTAGCCTGTGCAACAATTTCATGAATTACATGTTCCATTTTTACAGTGATTGTAAACGTCTGATATATGACACGTACTCTAATTTTTCATCATTTTCTGCTTTTGATTATTATTCCAGAAACTATCTGAATTAGTTACAGACGATGATATACGTCAAGGTAGTATGTATCCATCAATTGCTAGATTGCCAACAATTACAAAAGAAGTCTCTTGCGCTATTATGGAACAAGCATACAAGGATAAAATTGCATTTTTTACTCCGGAACCATATAATAAGATGGAATTTATTGAATCTTACTATTATGATCATAGATATATTAATTTTACACCCGATCAATATGTTTGGTAGCCATTTTGGCGCATTTCTATTCCCTGTTTCCCCTATCTATCTTTTTGAGTAGAACTCAATTTTATCTTCAAACTGGTAAGAATGATTTCAACATATGTATTAATAGTGTTTGGCTACTACTTATCATCTGTTCATCTTAAAGTTTTGATTTGAATATCGATGTTCGTTGTATTCATACATTTCTTCTGTAAAATGATTGTTCTGTTTAAACGGTTTGTACCAACTGTGGAAAATGTTTTTCAGTAAATAACTATACCTTTCAACTGTGGTGATTAAAAAAGTAATAGAAATTATGTCGTCAACATATACCTTAGATGTTCAAAATGTATTAATAGCTTCCACAATCCTTTTTCTGGTCTCGGCGGCTTGTGATTCTATCAGTTGCAGTGGTTCTAAATATTTCTCGTAAAGATGTTTCAGTCTATCGGCAAGGCAGATCTAGATCACTGATATTGTCCACTACAAAATGACAAGGTATTTAGGAAATATGATGTTAATGGAAGAGCAGATAGATATGGTTTATGATCAGAATGGGTTTAGATCATGATAGTGAAATGTAAACTCTTCTGAGGTTTCCTGGTAAATAATACGTAGAAATGCTACATATTTGTTTTATTCAAGATGTCTGTAGTAATCCGACACGGCGCTATAGGGTTCATCAAACATCCTATCTATATGTGATTTTGATTTTTTTATCAGTACTGTGAAGATTGGAATTCTAACGTAAAGGCAGTATTACTACCAACTATTTGCTTCAATGTTGGTTGTAACGAAAGAGTCAACAGTCATTCACTTAATTATAAATAGTTTGTGTCCCAAACTCACCAAGATTCGTATGTTACTTACCAGATTGTGAGGGCGTGTATTTGTTAGTTCTAGGTTAGATCTAAAACTGATCAAATAGTTTACCTGAAGCTTCTGTAGGATTGTCAAACAATGATTATTACCTCACAGTCTATATATATATATATATATATATATATATATAAACTTAAAATCCTACCATCTCGTTGCGATGTATCACCGCAAAACCTCTGATCGTCAAATATTTGGCTTCATGTTCGGTCTCATTAAATTACTGGTACCAAAATGATGATTATCGGGTTGTTTAGTTGATATTGTTGTCTTGAGAACACAGGTACCCAAAGTGTATTTTTCATGTGAAATGTGGGGGAGATTTTCCTAAGGTGAAAAGTTATTGTGCATCTCTTAAAATATCTAGTTGGTGAAGTTGTTAAAGGGCTGCCATATAAATATAATTCACAATCCTTTGATCGAATCGAGATCCGTCTGACGCTCATGATTTCTCCATGATCAAACAATACTGTACTGAGGGACTATTTGAGTAATACGAACAGAACGGTGATAGCTTTTTATCATTCATGTTTCGTTATATTGTGTAACTGCTGGTAATAACATTGTGTGTGGTGTAACTATCATATGTTATCAATCAATTTTTGGCTGGTTCGGGTGATTACTTCCATCACCCTGGCTTTACATTAGTAATCAACGTTGTGTTTTATATAGTACTATAAGCTCTCGTATCGTAGTTGAATTGCGACAAACGTTTAGCCTGTTTGACAGACGTAATTCTACTGATTCCTAACTTATGTCTGATAAAACTGACGTTCGAATGAGACTCGCAATGTCCTTGGAACATAAGGTGAGAAGGTAAGACATACTGGCTAGACAAAAAGCCAAATGATAATATGAAGGATGAAATCTCCAATCTGCTTGTTTCTAGGTAGTCTACTTTTGTAACGAATAATGTTGAGGCCTGGATTTATACATTTTTCAGACGGAAACCTTTAAAAGTCTTGTATATGGTTAGTTGTTTTGTAGAAAATAAGTTTCACCAAGAGAAGTTCGTGATTCAAAACACGGCGCGACTATTGAAATGTGTTTATTACCTGACTTGTGAAGTATCATAAAATTAATGAGTACGAGCATTGGAGAAGTGACAAAAACCTGTCATGGTGACATGTGTTACTTTGCGTTAGATATTATCTCAACAGTTCCTTTGCTCGCATGTCTTAGTAAAGCATAAGAAAATATTCAAGAAATGACTTTTTTACACAACTCCATCCCAGCTATGGACAGTAGTTCCCTCCTAGATAGGAGTGCGTAAGGATAATATGTTTGGCCTTTTCATTCTAATTCTCAATCAAAACACATACGAGACTTGTTCAGAAGAGCCGTAATGCTACATTGAAAAAAAGTTCTAGCAACAAATTTCTAAAAAAGCCGAGAATTTAAAGCCATTTGCGGTAAGTTTGAATTATAGTTTTTACTTCAGGAATGTGGTGAAAGTCAACTAGCAATTATTTACTATCTCAAGTAAATTGTTGATCTTTTCAAGTAGTCAGTATTCCGTTGTTAGTGAAGTGTAAATGTGCGGCAAAAGCCATCCAGAAACTGGTGTATTTATAGATGTAGTTATTGACTACATAATTTCGGTATTGGTCTAATCTAACCGATAGTTTCCGAGAGGAAATCTGATGTTTGGATGATTTATTCATGTTGTGTTAGAGGTGACACAGTCCATTTGAATGCTGAAAATAAACTAGTGTAAAGTTTGAATCTGTTGATGCTTTTGTTCTAATTATTAGCACGTTGAGTAGAAATGAACACTTTTGTATGGTTTAAAATATAAAGTTGTGCAGAACCTCTATCCACTTAGTTACACATTCGGTAGAGTCCATTGGTATGTCTATCCGCCCATACGTATGTTCTCAATCCAACACGACGGTACAATGAATAACTCGTGATGTGGGCTTAAATATCATACAGACGTAAGCACTAATTAAAAGAAGAATAACATTTCTTACATACGATGCCAACAGCTGCGAATCCTGAGGAAAATATAATGGTCCTTTAGCGATTTTTCAATTCTCCACTCCAGAATTTTCTATCGTTTGGATGACATCTAAAGAATAATTTTGAAGTTTCCGACTAAAGTACTGTTGTATCTTTGCAGCCCTCAGCTCACTATGGGTTCAGAGATAATAAATATAGAAAATAAATAGGAACGATCATATCGCAAACCTGAAGTTACTTAGCTAATCGCTTCGAAATATTTCAGTCCACAGGCTGAGTAATCCTTCCTCGTTGAGTTAGTGTCATAATTTTGGTCGTCTATAACAAATCAAGACTGCTGTCTCGACTTGAATTGAATTATTTTCAGGTGAAGCTTAGTTTTGCATATAATCGGGCGAGACCATAATTTACGAACGAACCAATCAGATTTATGATAGCAGGTTTCTGATTTTAGCGCAAAATTCATCCACTCATTTGGCTAATTACTATTTCGGCATTATCACTGATGTCAGTTCGTGATGAAAACTTTAGATCTAGTTCCTAATCATCAACTGTAAATCATAATTCCGATTCCTAACACTGGTTTAGAACCCTCATATAGTTTTAGTTCGTAGGTTGACGTTTTCAAAGTTATTCTATCGCTGCTCAAAGGCCATCCATAAATTGTAGTTTCACCTATTTCCCTTTTTATCCAACTGTTTTAGTTGTTAAACCTTTGTTATAGTGTGATTTCTTCTTTTCTCTCGTGTTATCATCGAAATGTCTGTAACTGATTACTGGACAGTGTGGAACAAGTGAGTGTCATCTTCTGGGCCGTCAATACCTGATGGAATGCGATGAATGATAGAATAGTATCATGAAATTCGCACTGATCTAACACTCGCAGCCTTTACAAAGTGTGATAGACCCAAATGTGTCCATTTATACCGGCAAGGCTGCTTGGATGATGAGTGAATTATCAGAAGTCAATGAAATGGTAATTCTTGCTAAAACTGGTGTTGCCCAGCACAACTCTTTTGATCTCTCTTATTATGAATACGATGACACTAGCTCTATGAATGCCCAAATATATGTGCAGTCACCTAAAGGAAGTTCAAAACTGATTGACTTACTCTTGCTGAATTGAAAAGTTCATGCAAAGCGGTATGGAAGTACTAAAATTTTAAGCAAATGAGTACTGAATCGAGTTTCTGCAGTGTCTCGTTCATTAATCAGCAGTCGGAAAACTCCTCTTAATCTGTAGTGACTCACATTTATCACGAGAACACGACTGGTTTAATAAAAACAATTATTATCATAACCAAATGTACTAGTGTTTGCTTTAATTTGCTTTTGTTTGACTGTGCTAATGACAGCTACATTGTGCTTCCATTCTTATTCTCACACTTTGATTGTGACTTCGCGTTACGTTCTGTAACCAAGCTTGTATCCTGGCACGATCTCGGTATCCTATCGATACCACGAGATCGCCAGCGAATATATCTCGATTTAGCCCATTAACTGTCTTCTGATATTTGGCTTCTCGGAGATTTTATGGATTTGTTTGGTTACGTCCAACATTCGCCTTCTGATTTACTTGGCACGTGTATCTTGGTAGCGGTGTTCATAGTTAGTTTTGACTCGACACGACGCTACAAATCCTAGGAAAAAAGTTGTGTCTATTTCTAGCTAAAATATTAGCTTTACGATTAAAAGCCTTGCTATCATTTCAGAAATTTGTGGTTATTAGAAGTAATCGGATTGGTATACTGGCGAGCCTATAATTTATGGACGAACCGATCAGGTAAAGGATAACAGGCGCGAAACTTTTTCATTCATTTGTTTACATAGCGTTTTGTCATTTCAACTGATGTCAGTTCGTGATGAAAATACTAAATCTAATTCCTAACCCTAACCATTAACTGTAAATCATGATTCTAATTCTTCACACTGCTTTATAACCCTCATTTGGTCCTAGTTATCACGTAGACACTTCTAAGGTCACATTAACCTTGCCCAAACATCGTTAATAAATAATAGTCTCACCTGGAATTCTTATTAGTCGTGCGATAAATCACAAAAGAATCATCAATTAGTACAATTAACACAAAATTCAGAGAGGATGTGATACAGACGGGAAGATGATTTTAATGAAAAACGAGAGATCGAAAGCTTAAAAGGAAAACGTGGCCCAATATCACAAAAAAGCATGGTACCTTGACTGTATTCAAGATACCCTTAAGATGATCTTAATTATAGATTCCCTATGTTTTATTGAGTCGATAACATCAAAAGTTTCGTGTCAGGTACTCGTTTTAAGCAGGACAGTGAGCAGAAGTTTATACTCCACTGATACCACAATCTTGAATGTTTGGTCCACCTCGATTTCGTTCGTACGGCAGTCACTGTTTATTCTAGAAAACGGTATTATTTTGCAAAGATTAGTGTGGATTCTCTTGCAGAATATAAAGTATCCTAAAGGATTCTGACCACAGATCTTACTGAGTTTTGAGAAATGAATTCACTTTCAAAGTGCCAGTGGTAATT